GTTGCCATTTGAAATTTTTGAGTTGCCCCCCGCCCCCCCTCCCCCTGGGGGGGTGAAGAACTGAAAAGTACCTCAAAAAGTTTCCCCCTCGATATGAGGAAGGACGCCACAAACCGCAAATCGATATCATAATTAGAACTAAAGTTATGGCCAGTGGTGCGTAACTTTTGAATAACCCTGTATGTGCGAGTTAATGACGCGCCTTATCAACACATTGTGTTGGAGTTCACTGCTTGTTTTTTTTTAATCTTAAAATTACCCGTTTAGGAGATATTTCCAAAAAACTGATCGTGGGTTTTCTCAATTTTGACAAATTCAAAATAGCGGCTGCCTGAGCACCAGACCATTTTCCTGAAGTTATGATGGGCATTTTCGGACTTCTATATTACCGAGGAATCGATACAAATTGTTTTGGTTCTAAGGACAAACCAAAACCCATTTGTTGTACGGTGATAATAGAACATTTACTCAGTGTTCTCTTTGCATAGCTTATAACGAAAAAGTGTGTTTTATCAAGTTTATGAGCAAATATTAATGAAGTTGTATGCAAGGTTTCATTTCTTGATTTTGTAAAGCGATTTTATTAATTTTGAATTGCTGAGAAAGTATTTTAAGTAAGATACTTAATCTGCTGGCTAATTTTCTTGAAGTATATAAAAAATATTCAACCCCTACATTATGATTTCTCTTGGAAGTCCTGTAATTAGGAATTTTTTTCTGCAGCATTGTGTGCTTTTCCAGTTTTGACTATTCCAACTTTCCACCTCTTTTTTATTTTTTTCTATATTCTGTCCCCACTCAGGGGTGTCACAGCGTAGCCGATTTTGAGGCGCCGCACCCGCTGCTAAATGATCGCTTTTGAGACTTTCTGATTGAACTCAAAATAAGTGTTCCGAAGTTGAAGAGGCTTTAACTCACAACTTGATGAGAAATAATGTATAATAGTTGTTTTAGCCCTTGAGAACTATACTTTTCCCTTTACAATGTTGCCTCCCATAATATTTCTCCAGCTTGGAACGAAATTGGTGTATATACTTTATCTTGCACTCGAGTGATCCCCCCTACCCTCAGCCTCACCCATGGGTCAAAAGTGTGATTTTCTCGTTCCGAATGGGCTTCTAGCTGCCTCTGTAAGAGCTGGTCAGGTTTTCTTCATTTTAGTGCATTTTAGATTAGGCGTTTTTCCGCTCATTCAAACCAATGTAATTTTGCCCGTAGTTTAGATCTCTTTAAGCATCATCTAAAAAAGCTTCAAATTGGCTCAAATTTTTTACAGCCTCTTATTTTCATCGATAGAACCGATTGCCACCCAGACCTCGTCGATTTTCCTACATGACAGAAATAAGCCACACCCTAGGCGGAGGTGCTTCTTCCTATTGCTAAACTCTCCAGTTATTATTCATGTTATTCATTATGGAATTGGAAAATGGTTGATGTGAAGCTGACCTTAAGTGTTTTTAGGATTCGAACTTTTAGGATGGATGAAAAGGATTCGATTTAATTCTACTGGTCCTCATCACAATCTAGAGCTAAGGCACATTAGATATTGGCGTATATTCTCGTAGCATTCTAAGAAATTAATCTGTACTCATCTAGCCCCTCCTAATCATTGAGGAAATCAAGGTCTCCTAAATTTCTATTATTTATTTCTTTCCTAGTCAAATCAAGAGTAATGCAATAATTATCTACCCTAGTGGAACCAATTTCCAATGTTTCTGGAACTAGGTAAAGTCAAATTTGTCAAGGCTACTAAGTAGTCTGCACTTAGATGTCCTGTAAATTATTTGTGTAAATAAACTAGAGAAAAAAATGTTGCAGATTAACAGTTGAAGATTCCGATGGAGCCACAAATTCTACTACTGCCAATATAACAGTCGAAAAAATCCCTGACTGGCCTCCACAAGCAAACCCAGGTCAGAATGTTATTCTGTACCTTCCTCACAACAACATCACTCTAAACGGGAGCCTAAGCACCGATGACCATGGCATCATTTCATGGGAATGGACCAAAAGCCCTTCAGCCGTGAAAGCAGTTGACATGCAGGTAAATGATTTTTCATTATTTTTGGTCAATAATGGTTTTGAAATTCTCAAATCTTGCTATTATCACTGATGTAAACAAAAGTTCAATATCAGGATCACTCTGAGTATTAACTCTCATAGTTATGGGAGTGTGAAGGAATCTCCAACAGTAGGGGAGCTTTTTTTTGTCAGGACTAATATGAAGGAAGGATGCCAAGCAATGCAGATGACCTTCGCCGTGATCGCCGGTTTTAAATAATAAACTTCTCTCTTTAAGGGAATCACAAGTAACACTCAAGTATAAAGGAAGTGTATGATAATGTGGCGGTTTGGCACATGCTTACATCATCTCAATGATGCGCATGGCGTGCCGACGCACCCGCATGGAGCATTTTTAACTTCGGCCACTGGTTACACTTCGATTGCTCGGTTCCCTATTGCAAAGTTGTGCAATACCAACCTGGTGGGGAGTCGCCTATAAATAGAGGCTGGGGCATAGGCTGGCCAATCCGTGCAAAAGTGGAATTTGCAGAGACGACTTGTATCTCGGCTTGGATCTATATCAATTTATGGCATGGGCCCATACCCACACCCATATCATGGCACAGACACCTCACTAAAGATTCGGCTTAGACCCGCCGATGTAACTTAGATATGGACTGCATTTTGCAATTTGGAACTATAGATTCTGGCTCATCTGAAACAACACTTAAGTGCACAGGGAAACGAATGCCACACATGTTGTTTTTAAACCAGGCCAGAATTTATAGTTCCAAATTGCAAAATGCAGTCCATATAGAACTTGTATGTATATGAAAACTATACATCACAATCTCATATGTGTCAGTTAGTCCTCGTCTCCATTATTACCCAAAAAGCCACCCCCTCTCAATGGTGGAAGCTCCAACAATCTCGTGACTCTGAACAGCAGCAACAACAACAACAACTCTACCAAGATCTGCGTCTAACGATGAATTGTTATTACAGGATCCAGCATCTCTTGTCAAAATTAAAAGTTTTAAGGTTGTTGCTTTCCTTTTTTCTGCTAGAGCGTTGCGCTATTGTCACGGAGCAAATTCGCTCTCGGTCGCTCGTGCCATTGTCGCGGCGTTACCCCTGGCCATTGTCACGGTCGTTAAGAGCACCGATACCTAAGTGGCTCCGCCATTGTCACGGCGTACTGAGGTAAATTTTTTTTTTACCACTCGCGCTATTGTCACAGCGCAAATCCGCTGTTGGTTGCTCGTGCCAGTGTCACGGCGTTACTTCTGGACTGTGTCACAGCCTTTAGGAGCACCGATGGCTCAGCAGCTCCGCCATTGTCACGGCGTATCTGAGCTAAATTTTTTTCTCCGCCTTTATACTTGTCCTCTCCCCCCTTTTTTTTTCTTAGAGCGTCGCGCTATTGGCACAGCGCAAATCCGCTCACAGTAGCTTGCGCCACTGTCACAGCGTTACCCCTGGCCATTGCGCGGCCGTTAAGAGCACTGATACCTAAGCGGCTTCGTTATTATCACAGCGTATTAGAGCCATATTTTGCAACCAGGCAGCTCTCGCTAAGCAGGAACGGAGCGCCGTTTTTAGTCGTGCGGCGAAGCCGTATAGACTCTAGGTTTCGCCGGAGGCTGAAAAATGTTCACACTTTTAGGCTAAGTCCAAGAGGAGAATTTTCGAGGAACCAAGTAACATATGAAGTATTGATATCGGTGCATTTTGCCCCAATGGAGATGTTGCATGTGCAAGGAATTTGCAATTTGACCGTTGATTCTTGTATAAAAGTTCGCGAGGAACACGATGGTGCCACTGGTTTTCCCTGAAATCATCTCCCAAGCTCGAAAAAAGCTCTCAAGTTAAGGCCAAAATGGAGGGATATCCCACCCTACCCTGAGAGTCCACGTCTACATGAAGACAAACTCTCCATGCAAAGATAGGGAGTAAATACATTAGCAGGGTTGCCGTGTTTTCAGTTTTGGAGTCCCCAGATAAATTGGCAGCCCTGTCAATGTATTAGCTCCCTATCTTTGCATGGAGAGTTGGTCTTGATCTAGACTTGGACTCTCAGGGTAGGGTGGGATATTCCCTCCATTTTGGCCTCAACTTGAGTGCTTTTTTTTGAGCTTGGGAGATGATTTCAGAGAAAACCAGTGGTGTTTCTCGCAACCTTTTACACAAGATACAACAGTCAAATTGCAAATTCCTCACACATGCAACATCTCCATTATGCCCAATGAAATTTCTGATCATTTAGCAATGGTTTGGTACCGTTTAGCAATCAACTGTGACCATAATGTAAAGAACCCACACTGGTGCCTTTCGGCTCAATGTCGCCATATGGCATTCTTTATCATCAAGTCACTGTCGAACATTTACTGTTAAGTAGCGTATAGCAACCAAGTATAGCCAAAATTTCCAGAAATCATACCTCAGATGTTCAAAGAGTGTTAACATGTGTCGCCAAATGGAATTTCTGATCATTTAGCCATGGTTTGGTAGCGTTTAGCAATCAACTGTGACCATAATGTAAAGAACCCACACAGGTGCCTTTCGGCTCAATGTCGCCCTATGGCATTCTTTATCATCAAGTCTTTCTTGAACATTTACTGTTAAATAGCGTTTAGCAACCAAGTACACACCAAGTAGATTTTTTTATTCCTTGCGGAGGGTATGAACTTACTTTGTACAAATTTTCGGACCTCCACTGCCACTACAAGGTGTTCAAAAAAATTCTCCAAAAACGGCCAACTTGAGGTATTTTTGACGTTTTCGCTGCCATTTCGGGTATCGCACGACGAAGAATATAAGACGTAGGAACCAAGTAAATTTTTTATTCCATACAAACGGTATGAACTTACTTTCCACAAAATTTCGGACCTCCATTGTCATTACAGGGCGTCCAATAAATTTTCGAACGCGAAAAAACGGTCAAAATTGAGCTATTTTTGACGGGTTTTCCACCATTGTGGGCATAGCTTGGCAGAAAATGAAAGACCTAGGAGTTTTCTGACATTTGCCCTTCCATACTGATGGTATGGACTTGCTTTCCACAAATTTTCGGATTTTTACTACCATTATAGGTTGCTCAAAAAGTTCATTATACGTTAAAAAACGGCGAAATTTCGATTTTTAGAGCTGCGGAGCGGGGAGTTTCGGCATTACCAAGTGAAGTGAAAGTGACCTAGGAGAAGAACAAAAATTTTCCCTTAATCTGCAAGGTGTGTGCTAGGTTTTTACCAATTTTTGGACATCTAGCGTCAAATCCGTGTTGCTGGCAAAAATATCAAAAATATACGACGAAAATGCCGAAAAAACCAGAAAAATCTCGATGTTTAGGCTCTGTGCGCGCCGGGTTAAAAATTTTTTTTCTCAAAATCCTCTTGGCTACCATGTTTTTTTATCACATAGAACCATTTAAGACCGTGCAACATTTGGTTTTGTCGATTTAAAAAAATAAGTCCCACCCTAGGGTATATTCCACACAACTAACCGTAGTATTTTCGAAATTTCCTCTTTTTAGTGATTTTCACAGAAGGTTGAAAAGTGATGTAAAAATACACTTTTTTCGAAATTCAGAAGGCCATATTTTTTTTTACCTCAACTGTCCTCAAGCATTTTAAGGCGAGATTTTATAGTCCAAAGTGGGTATTTTTAGGATCCAGAGGTGACAGACTGCGGAAAACTGCGGAAATGGGAATTTTTTACCTTAAATATAAACTCTTTGAGGGATTTTCTCAAACAAAGATCCCTCTTCATCCACTCTTTTGTATTAAGTAAAAACATTTCCGGAATAAAAAAGTTTAGCCTCGACCGAGAATCAAAACCTGAACTATCAGTATAGGAGGATGTTGTTTTGACCATTTTTAAAGATACTGTTTCGTTTGTAAATGAGGGTCACAGAGTGTCCTTGTTTCGGAGAGTGGACTGTAGGTTAAGGAGAAACTCCTCTAAATGTATCAGATACGTAGCGTCCGTTAAAAACCTCTTTTGGGGGAACTTCATCCTCTTTAAACTCTCCTCAAATTGTTATATGATGTGTTTGGTGGTTGAATTTTGCATAGTATCACTTAACAAGAAGTACTGGCTGTAAAATATTCTTCAAATCAGCAATATCTGGTCTTAAATAGTTTTGGCCAGCTTTTCCGGTGGAATACCACAGTGTGCGACGCACCCGCGGGGAGCAGTTTCAACTTCGGCCCCTGGCTACAGTTCTATCGCTCGGTTCCCTATCACAAAGCTGAGCAATACCAATCTGATAGGGAGTTGGCGACCGACTATAAAAAGAGGCCGGGGCATAGGCCGACCAACCAGTACAGAAGTGAAATTGTAAGAGACAACTTACAAGTTGTCTCTTACAAAGTCAAGACTCAAACGTCAAAGTCAAGTCTTACAAAGTTGTCCTCTTCGGCTAGGACCCGTATCAATTCACGGCATGGGCCCGCACCCAATCACGACTTGGACCCGTACCCATATCTCGGCACAGATGCGTACGAAAGACAGACCCGTGTGTGTAACTTAGACGTAGAACTTGTATAAATATAAAAATCATACAGTACAATCTCATATGTGTCAAATAGCCCTCCTCTCCATCTTACCCATAAAGCACCCCCTTCACAATAAATGATCAGGTTATTTAAAATTGCGAGTGAATACTTTCCTGAGTATCTATTGATTTGAGCCTGGGTACAACAAACATCACTGATCAACTAAGAAACTCTGATAATTATCAGTATTAGGGCTCAATGCAAGCCTAGTGATTGAGTGAGTTAAATACTGTTTGTTGCCATGTTCGAAAAGTATCCAAGACTTCCCATTTGTGATTCAACTCGTCATCTAGTTCAAGTTCTGCTGTCCAGTTTTTCTTGCTGAATGATTTGTCTCAATCTTGATGACTCTCTTTTGTTCATTTCTTATTTTTTTCCTTTGTTTGAATCATCAGTATTTTGTTTGTTAATGATGACGCTTACGTTTTCTAGAACACAAGAACGCCGTATTTAAAATTGTCAAACTTAGAGGAAGGCATTTACACTTTTGTTCTCAAAGTGATGGATGCCTCCAACCAAACCTCAGAAGGTGAAGTCCATGTGTTTGTCAAAACTCCAACAAACAAACCGCCTGTCGGTGAGTCTGGTCCTATTATTCACTGTTTTTTTTTTGTTTTTTGTTTTTTTTTGTTCGCAAACCTCTTAAATTGCATCGTGTAACTTGTGCTTTTAGTATGTAAACCAGAAATCACCGAGTTCTCAGAATTTTTGGTTTCTTCATTTAATTTAGATACTTGTAATAAGGAAATTTCTCATACTCCTCTCAAGAAGTCTACCTCATCGATTTTTTATTTTTTTAAATGAAATTAGTTTGCTTGCCATACCTCTGCAGAATTCGAAGTAGAATTCATAATATCTGTACATTAATGACATCAGTTATGGGCCGCTTGTTTGTGGGGGTGAATACAGGTTGATCCAAAAGTCCCTTCCACCCCCCTCTAACTTTTTACCTAATTGGCATAAAGATTTGAAACTTGGGGGATGTTCTTGGGTCAAAGTGAGCTACTTTTTGGCCCCCCCCCTGAAATTTTCAAGGGGGTCCCCTTGGGGGGCGCACCCCAATTTTTTTTCAAATGGGAAGACCCCCTTTGTGATATCACGTTTGAAAGAAGAAAGAAAAAAACCGGCGCTCCGCTTCGCTCCNGGGGGGGGGGGGGGGGGGGGCTTCGCCCCTCAGGACGCGCGCTTCGCGCGCGTCTTTTCAGTGTCGTCTGTACATCCAGTTTTTCCTCTTTTTAAGTGTCCCGCGCATCCACCGCGGGAAGGAAGTGTATTTCCCGAAGTGGGATTTTTGTAATCATAAAATCGTACGTCAGTAAGTCATTGTGTGATCGATAGTTTTCTTCCAAAAACTTTCTTCACCTGACCCACTGTGCGACGCGCAGTTTGTCCAAAATCTTCCTTCCCCTGAACCACTGAGTGACGAAAAGCTTCTTCAAAAACTTCTTCCCCTGACCCACTGTGCGACGAAAATTTTGTCCAAAAACTTCCTCCCCCTGACCCACTGTGCGACGAAAATTTTGTCCAAAAACTTCTTCCCCCTGACCCACTGTGCGACGATCAGCTTGTCCTAAAACTTTCTCCCCCGACCCACTGTGCGGCCCTGCTCCGGCCGGCTCCCCTCATGCCGCGCACCCCCCGCCTAAAACTTTCAAAGCTCGCCATTTTTAAACGGCTCAGCCGATTTAGCTCAAATTCAATACCAAACCAGTCCTAGAGGAGAACTACCACCCATAAAAATTTCAGCTCAAAATATTTATTTTCGTTCGAGTTATCGAGTGGACAAGATTCAACCTCCCCCCACTTTCGAGCCCCATCCCTCAAAATCTATTGCCTCAAATTTCAATTTTTTTTCGCAGAATAGTAGTTCTAATGAGTCTCTACTAAATGCAAGTAAATTGGTCAAAATATCTTTCAACGTAAGAAAGATATAACGACTCAAAAATCGAAAAATCTTAAAAAGGCGGAAATACATACATACATATATACATACATACATACATATATACATATATACATATGTCGCAGGCTAAAGGTCAAATCCGGCATTTAGGCAAATGCCTAGGCAAATAGAAAAGAAATGGTAAAAATCATTGAAATTCGTCGATTGCCTAGGCATTTGCGCAAATGCCTGAAGATTTGACCAAATGCCGAAGGCTGATTAGGCAAATAGTAAACTCCAGCCCGGCTCACAATGTATCTGTAACTGCAACGTCGAGCTCCGAGCCTACTCAGAACGTGTGTGGTGATCAACCTCAATGCTCCTCTTGTCAAAAGCCTGGTAGCTTAAAAAAATGCAGCTCTTGCGATAGTTCATGTCATCAAGAGTGTGGTAATGAAGACGGCGACCAACCATTTGTTTGTGAGTATTGTCATGGCGAGGCAGAAATACGCACAAGAGCGGAAGCCCATCTACGACAAAAAGTTGCAGCTCAAAAAATGACAGAAAGAAGTTCGAAATTATTCACATCTTTAAAAGTGGAAGATACAATTATTTTGAACATTTCAAAATTTGATCGTGGTCCGTTGGACCCAAAAAACATCGAAGGAATTGTTCTTGACGTCCGCAATAATGTTTACCAAATTGGAACACCCGCAGGTGTCATCAAAAATTGGTGTTCGCGGGAAGAATTAAAACAAGTAGAGGCAATAAAATTTGAAATATCTCAGGTTCCGAGGGATAAGCTAGTGTTGGTCCGCGAAGCAGTTTCTGGCGTTTCGTTATTTGAAGGGCAAGGCTTTGTCAAGTGTAATTGCCAAGCCAGTAAAAATCAATGTGCGACCAAACGATGTTCTTGCTTCAAAAATCAGAGAAAATGTTCCAGCAAGTGCCACCAACCCATCGCGTGCTCGAACAAGTGACGCTACTGCCTCATTCTTTTTAAGGTACAGACTTTCTTTTTTTTCTTTTTTTCTTTGGCCGTGGTTTTTTGGATTATTGCAAATTGACTTTTTCTCAGATTTTGACTATTTGCCTGAAAAGGAACATCATTTGCCTTTTTGCCTAACGTGCCCTCGGCATTTACGCAAATGCCTAGGCTTTTATGTAATTGCCTTGTCATTTAGTCAAATGCCTAGGCAAATAGCCAATCTACGTTTTCGATTAAACTTGACCATTTACCTAGGCATTTGCCTAAATGCCGGATTTGGCCTTTAGCCTGCGACACATACATATATATATACTAGCCGTTCTGGGCGCGCTTCGCGCGCCCGTCACGCCTAGCCGGGGGCTAAGCCCCCTGGACACCCGGTCACTCGCTACGCGAGTGACATTCGGCTCGCTTCGCGAGCCGATTTTGTAGTAGTTGCAAATTTTTTATCACTATATTTTGAAGATTTCATAGAAAACATCATGAAATTCTCACTCCACAATTAACTTGTAGAATAATAATGGCAGGGCAAGAAATAGACTATATCTTA